TAAATTCAACCTGAGTGTTCCCTGCACCTCCAACATTCTCGAACATACAAGAGTCAATATCCATGCAAGGTGAGAAAGAATCTAACTCATCTTGCAGCCTCAGGATTTCTTTTTCCGTTTCCTGGATACTGGTAATTAGCGCAGCATATCTAGGGTCCTGTGGTCCGGGGTAGAATTTGTTTCGGGACATCTCCTTCGTGATGTTGAGATAGGATTCGTGATACCTTTGCTGAATTTTGATTTCAGATAATGTCCTATGCCTGTTCATGCATGGTTCGTGTAAATTCGGTAGGTTTATGACTGGTGGAGTCTCTGTTTGCATGGCTTCCATCTCTGCGCAGATGCGCTTGGACGGTTGTAAATCCTCACCCATGACCAAAAGGCTAACGGGTGGGTAAAAGCATCAGAAAACGCAAAATCGGGAACAACGTTGAAAAGCGACCGCTCTCAACTAACTCCGAAACGCGATCATCTATGAATATCGATAGACGACGAGAGACGAATTGTTAAATGGAGTGCTTGAGCTCAAGAGCTCTCTACCTCCAGGACAGAACAGTAGAAACTTTAGATGTTACTGAATAAAGTAGGAGTAATTGATTGAATAGAGGGATATACCATGTTAGCATATTAATGTTTAGAGTAATGGCCTGAGCCTTGTCACAAGGAAAAGGGAAGGGAAGGGAGGGAAGGAGAAAGGGAAAAGGATCTGAAAGGCAAAAAACGTTTATTATACACAGTGCCAGCAGATGTGGGATATCTTACCTTAATGTGGGGGAATTAAGTTCTCCATACCTGCGGGGATGGACTCGTCGGTCGCCAATCACTCTTGCTAATTCAGTCCATGGCATCAGGCAGTCAATCGGCCGGTCAGGGGGGGGGGGTCATCCAGGCTGTCTAGCTCTTCCTAGGTTGTCCTGAAAAGGACAGGTCGAGCAACATCTTATTGCGGGAACCAGGCATTCCTCTCGGCGAAACTTACTAGCTGGTGCTTCTTGAATTCTCATCTGTAGAGTTGGCTACGCGCTCGGCGCTTTTTCCGTGGGCTGGCAGGATCATAGTCAGGGATGGCGATGATTGCTCCGTTGGTGGAGCTGTCTATTTTCCTGAAAAATTTCTTGGCAAGTTTAAGGTTATGTTGAGCTATTGTTTGAAGGTTAAGATCTTTCAGTATATTTTGGTTTCTGAGGTACCAGGGGGAATTGGTAATTTGCCTTACTGTTGTGTTTTGTAGACCTTCAAGTTTGTTCAGATGTGTTTTTGCTGCCGCGCCCCAGACGGGACTGGCGTACGTAATTAATGGCCGGAGGAGGGATTTATAGGTGAGCAGTTTGTTTTCCAGAGAGAGTTTCGAGTGCTTACCCAGGAGGGGATAAAGTTTTTGTTTGGCTGCCTTGAATTTATCCCGGACTTTCGTAATGTGGTTTTTATAGGTGAGAGTTTTGTCGATCGTGACACCCAGATAGACGGTTTCATTACTGCAGGGGATGGGTTTCCTGTATAGCTTAGGGGGAGGGGGGGTTGTCCGTTTCCTAGTGAAATATACTGCCTGACTTTTGTCCACATTGACCTTGATCTTCCACCTAATTAGCCATTTACCCAGTTCAGCTAGGTAGTTGTTCAGGTTGTCGGAGATCTCCGGTTGGGAGATACCGGTACTCATGATTGCTGTGTCATCAGCATACATGCATAGATGGGTCTCCTGGTTCCTGGTGATGTCATTTACGAAGATACTGAAGCACTGAGGCCCCAGTTTTGATCCCTGGACAACTCCAGCTTCGATAAATACGTCCCGAGGAGAAAGAATTTCCCACTCGTACGGTGAAGCCTCTTCCATGAAGGTAGGAGCTCATGAGTTTTACTAGTCCATCCGGGATTGACATCACTAACATCTTATAGATCAGGCCGTCCAGCCAGACCCGATCGAATACTTTTGCTATATCAATGAACACAGAACCGGTATCTCTACCGCTCTCTAGGTTGTCTCGGATAATTTCCGTCATACGAAGAAGTTGGTCAGTGGTAGACAACTTTTTCCTAAAGCCGAACTGGTACGGTACGAGTTTATCCTCAGTGAATGTTGTAAGTCGTTTTAATATGATGGCTTCAGTGAGTTTGCTGATAGTAGATAACAGGCTAATGGGACGATAGCTATCTGCCTTTTGTGGGTTCTTACCAGGCTTCAGTATTGGGACGACGATAGCCGTCTTCCAAGCTTTTGGGAAATACTGGCGTCTAAGAATAGCATTAATCAGGTCAGTGAGTCTGAAGATTGTTTTTAGGGGAAGTCTTTTTAACATGTTGTTAGAGATTTTGTCTATACCCGGGCTTTTATTATTTTTCAGTTTTCCTATGTTATCAAACACTTCCGTTGCGTTACAGGGGGTAATGGCAGTATGAGTTTGGGATCTCTTGAATTCTCTCTCTCTCTCTTGGATTTCAGTGGGGGGGGGGAGATGTCATTATTTTTGAACTGCTTTTCTAAGCTGTTAGCTATTTCATTTGCTTTTTCCTCGTTTGTATACGCTATGTCGTTTTCGGTGATAATGGGGGGCATTCTAAATTTTTCCCGGGTAAATCTTTCGATTAGTTTCCAAACCGTTCCATCCTGAGGGGAGACGGAGGTGATTTCATTGGAATACTTTTTATTCTCTCTGATGTTATAGAGTTTCTTCAGGTTATTATGGGCTCTGTTGTAGTTGGTTTTGTCATCTGGGTGTCTCGTTCTTTGCCAAACTCTACGGAGACGATTTCGGGTTTCTGTTTGAGTCCTGATAGCCTCGCTATAGTCGTCATTTTTCTCTTTGACCCATTTGCCCGGCTTAGTGTGAGCCTCAATTAGAAGAGCAGTTAGTGATTTTACTTCCGATTCTATTTCCTTTTTTGTAATGGGGGGGAGCTAGGCGAATCAGCAAGCAGGAGGTACTCCTGGTATTTCTTCCAGTTCGGGGTGAACTTCTGTTTGTCATATACAGAGGGGTTTGTACCCGTTTCAACATGGAATCGAACCGGGAGGTGGTCACTTCCCAGTTCAACGAGGGATTCAGCTGTTGTAGGATAGTTAAAGTTGCGGGTAATGGCTAAGTCAATTACTGATTCACTAAAGCGGGTATAGCAGGTGGAGTGGTCTGGAGCAATGATTCTCATTTTGGCATGTATTGCGAAATTATGGAGTTGATTACCCAGGTTGTTGGCTCGGGCACAGTTCCAATGTCTGTGCTTGGCGTTTAAATCGCCAGCAATGAAGGTGATGGAATTGTAGGCTATCAGGGACTCAAAATCCATAGTAAACTGACAACTATTGTTGGGGGGGTTATATACTGAGATGAAATTAATTGGGGGGAGGTCGTTATAGTTAACCATCAGCATGGTAGCCTCGACATAGTACAGATAGGGATTAGAGATAGGATAGTGCGGGATATTCGATTTAATAATAATGCCAGTTCCTCTCATTCTGTAACCAGTTCTGCTGGGGGTGGAGTAAAATGTATAGTTAGGGAAGTAACATTTGTCAGCTGCACGAAGGTGCGTTTGCTGGATAAGCATGATGTCCGGTTTGCAATTATTCAGAAACTCTCTCAGGTCCCTAACTTTGCCAAGAAGCCCGTTAGCGTTCCAGGAAAAAATAACCAACCCGGAGACGTGGTTCATACTGTGACTGCGGGGTTACCTCTAGAGCTTCGCTTAGGAACATAAGTTTGTCAACAATGTTTTCGGTGCTCTGCATTTTAGCAGTAAGTGCTTTAACGTTTTTAATGCCATCAAAAATTTTGCGAACTTCTCCTATGAGTGACATGAGATCCGAAAAGTCACTTATATTGGGGGTTGCTGCGGGAGTCTGGTTATGTGCATTACCTGTGAACAGGGAACTCCATGCTTTGGGGGGTTCGGTTATGCTCTGAGTAATCTGGCTTGGGATTGTGGGGTTTTGCTTAGGATTCACTGCACGCGCGAATGATTTGCCTGGCTGGATTGAGTTGGTTTTGGGTTTGATTTTTGGGAAACGCGGGCATCCTCTGTAGCTAGCTGTGTGGTTACCCCCACAGTTTGCACATTTGGTTGCAAAATTCTCCTTATTTTTGTTCGGACAGTCCCTGGATTCGTGGGTTCCAGCGCAAATGACGCACTTGGGGTTCATTTTGCATAGTGAGGCGCCGTGGTGCCAACCTTGACATTTGAAACATTGCGGGATGTTTTTGTTTACATATTTTTCGACTGTTACAATTATGTAAAAGAGATGCTCTAATTTGTAGATTTCATCTACTTTCTCGTTTTTTAATAGGTGGACCTGAAACATATGTAGGGGCTGCCAAGTTTTAAATTTCCTCATTGGGTTGACCTTGTCTACTCTAAAACCTAAACTCGTCAGTTCATTTTTTATCCTTTCTGGGTCAGTGGTGGGGGGATGACCACTTTTGTGGGCCTCTCAGCCCTATCTGGGATTACGTAGTATTCCTTCTTCTCGTTATCCAAGTATTTGGTGAGTTCCCGAACATCTTTGGGCGAGTCAGCATAAATGCGGACATGTTCACCCGACTCTTTGGCTCTGCATTTAATGTTATGAGTATCATTTAGACGTTTCAGCATTACGAGGTAGTCATCAGTTTTCCTAAGTACAATTGGGGGGGGAAATACTTTGTTCAGTTTTACGTATTGCTGTTAATGGTGATGTTTGAAGTAAGAAAGATTTTTTTTTTTTTTTTTTTTTTTTAAAGTGGAACTTGTTTGATGAGGCCAGAGTGATAGCATTGATGTGATGTTTAATTACTGGATGGGGGCAGTGGTTGGAATTTAGAGAGTGATGTTTGTCCCTTTTTTTTTTTTCCGGGGAAGCAAGATTCTCGTTTGCGCTCTCCTGAGAGCTCTGCGGGCATTGGCAGAAGTGAAGAAATAATGCAATAATGAAGTTGAATAAAATATAGTGGGAGTATTTTAAGAAATATTTAGGAAGTGAATGAAGTTAAGAATCGAATCTGAACTTGACTTTGCTCTGTGTTACTGCCAGCAGCCATGCAGCACCGGTTTCATCTGATCACCGCAGTTAAGCAGCGGCCGGGCGCGGTCAGTACTTGGGGAGGTGACCACCTGGGAACACCGCGTGCTGTTGGCATCTTTTTTAAAATTTTTTCCACTTCTAAAAAATTGATATTTTAAAATATGAAAGATCCATATGTGTGTGTACTAATATGATTTTTTTTAATCAATCCGTTTCTTTTTTTTATAAATTCTATTGTTTCCTAACAGAAAACAGTTTATTCCTTTTAAATATGTCTCACTCTAAGTACGTCAACTGCTAAAATTTTGATTTCAGTTAAAATTCATATATAAATTCATTCGTTAATATTCATATTATAAATACTTTGACTCAGAATTTCTTGTTTGGGGTGAAAAGAAAAGTAACTTCCAATTGAAAGTCACAGACACGGCAAAGTATGAAATATACGGTTATTCATAAAATTTATTTTCTACACATGTTTTGAAACGACGATAGTTGTTATTCATGAAACATTCATTGTTTTAACCCACGGATTAAGAAAGAAATTTATTGTTTACATAGACACTCTAACCAACAATCAATTTCTGTTTTTAATATTCAATGTGATAGATATTGTTATGTGCAAAGAATTTCGACAACATGTGGTGGCCCTTAAAGGGCCTTTTTTTTTGTTCAAGGAGTTTCAACTGTTTACTTGGAGCTAGTGTACTTGAGCTGTGGTTCCTTCAGATTACAGCGTGTTTGGCCAATTCGCCAGGCAACAAAAAACCTCACAGCTGTTTAGTTCCCGACTGGTGATTGTTATGCTTGTTTGTAGTGAGCTAATCGGGAAGATTCGGCTGCAATATAATGTCGTTCACGAAAAATTCATGATGGTATGGCTGCCCGAAATTCCAGTATCGAGAGACCTGTTTCAAGACTTTGTAGATGTAAATAGCGAAAGATTCCTTCCTGCGCTTCTTCTCTTTTTCTTATCTGCTTGCTGGACGGCTTTTGGGCCCTTACCGGCCTTTTTTCTGCTTTACCCAGAGGCTTGGGGAGCATGTTCGATACAGGCGAAAATGAAATGTCGGGGCGAAAGCGCCTTTGCTTTTATAGTCGTTTTCCTGTAACGAAACCAACCAATCCCATTCGCTCTTTTGAGAGCCGGGCGTGTGAAATTTAATTGTATATAATCCGAAAGTTAGAAGTCTTGAATGTCCCGAACCTGATGATTTGTCTGTGCAGCTCTCGGACCAGCTCCCAAACATTGAAGTGAATCTTTGTGCATCGACTTTGTTTTTTGAAAATTTTTCATCTGCCCAGAGAGGGATCGCGTTTGGATTGTGCTGAATTTCTATCCACCTATTTTGGTGTTTATTTTCTTTTGGCATATTTCGTGCAGTCCGCAATGTAATACCGCATGACCAACTTGGCAACTCGCGAAGAATCGAGCGTGGGTATCCGAAGCTCGCATCCTACACGCACTGCAGGCAATATATTGCTTATTTGATGGGGTGTGAACCTACGGATAAAATCAAACGGCGCTTGGAGAAGGAGGCCTATACCCGGATGAATGGATTGGAAACGAAAGCTATCCCACCAAATTGAAAGTGGCATGAAGTTATTAATGAATTGCATGATTTTTGTTTAATGATGATAAGGAATGTGATGTAAATAATGAATATATGCCGCATGATAGCGATCAAGTAGCTGCTGTAAAGATTACGATTCTGATATGAGGCACTAATGTTGATGATATTGGGAAATGCACCTTTGTGATGAATCTGTAAATAACCTGCCTGTTAATAATGTTATAAATAATGATAATCTTGTAGTATTCAATGTACTTGGTGTCATTAATACTATTGCTAAGCCTAACGACCACATTAAGGGTCAAAGGATAATAATATGATGCATCCCCAGCAACGGAGAAGCCCTCTGTAGGGCGCCGAAAGGGAAACAAAGAGGTACAGACAACATTGCCAATTTGAATACCAGGAAAAATCTAAAACCCCAAAAGTAACTTAGAACTTAACGTACGCTCGAAGCCGATGCTGCTCGAAGTAAAATTCTTTTGTAGCCCAACAGGGCATACACCAGGGACAACTCATTATGATGTGAAAGACCCAAATGAGCATGTAATTACGCAATTCCTAAATATTTCCCCCTAAAGGGTAGCTTTGTTAAACGTGTTTAGGAGAAGTCAAGCAGCCAGCAGAAGGCTACTAAAAATCTCAAACCCTCCCCCCCCAGGTACCACTTAAAATAGCTGTATGAAGCATAGTCACACAATCGAAAGAAAAGAACCAGAACACATTCTAGCAAACGCTGTTAAAACCT